GACACAACAGCGGTCAACATCTCATCACCGTCGACAGCGACGCGTGCGTTCAAGTTTTCCACAGCAAGCGCGATCCTCCACGCCTGCTTCAGCATTCAAAACGCTTAGCGTGGCGAGCTTGACTGGTACAGGTCTCAGCAGCCATTTGCTTCAAATCGCCAGTCTACCTTGCGACGCGTCTGGCATCACGCAGCTCCCCGAAGTGTCTTAGGATGAGATGCTGTGTAATCTTAAGAAGGGGTAGATCCAACAACTATGTGTTATATCGTCGACTAGACGACGCTCGCCAACCACGAGCGTCTTAAAGGGATGGAGCCAAAGTCAGCACGCGAAGAGCGCTTTGCGGCGCAGTCATGGGATGAGCTTGCGTTCTCAAATAATCCGGTCCTTAAACTAGCACAAGAGTTTGCTGATGTTTTCCCGGATAAGGCTCCAGCAGTCCTGCATGATGACCGTGATGTACGTCACGAGATCGATCTCGTGCCAGGTTCTAAAAAAAAAAAAAAAATATTGTGTTACGTGGCAGTGGCCGCTTCCCTGTGATCAAATTGATGCGATTGACACCTTCTTCGAAGGCCAAAGACAGGCGGGTCACGTCCGTAAGAGTGTGTCTCCACACTCGAGTCCCACCTTCTGTGTTAAGAAAGCGACCGGAGGGTGGCGCATCTCTCACGCCTTTACCAAGCTAAACGATGCCACGATCCTGCACAGACCTCGATTTCGCGGAAGGACATGGCTTTGGACACCATGTCGGGCAGCACGATCTTCTCTATTCTAAATCTGACGGACGGATTCTATCAAATCCTCATGCGTCCAAAGGACATTGCCTTAACATCGATTAGTACCATCGAAATGCTCTGAGATTGGCTCGTGACGCCACAGGGGCTTAAGAACGCCCCTGTTACCTTCAATCGTATGGTCTCGCACGTTCCGCGGCCATTTTGAGACTTTGCGCCTAGCTATTTCGACGATATCTTCGTACACAGCCACGCCGCTGAAGGCGCGACGGACCTTGACGTTCATTTGGGTCACCTCCGTAAGGTGTTCGAAGCCATGCGTGCAAAGAAGCTGTGCGCGAACCTGAAGAAGTGTATCTTTTGCGCTTCAGGGATCCCTGTGCAAGGTTTCTACGTCAACGCGAAAGGTGTTCGCGCTGACCCCGAAAAGGTCGCGTCGATCTGCGCCTGGCCGCAGCCAGCGAACCAAAGCAATTTCGTCAATGTCTTGGTCTTGCCAATTATGTGCATTATTATGCGAAAAACTTCGCGGCAGGTATTCACCCGCTGTTCCAGTTGTTAGCGAAAGACACTACGTGAGTGTGGCGTCAGAAGCATTAAAGCGCTTTTGATGCTAATAAAGCAAAACTGTTATCAGCTTCAGTTATCGCCTTCGCAGATCATTCCGAGCCTTTTCATTTCGTTTGTGATGCGAGCGACTTCGCGATTGGTTGTGCTCTGATGCAACATGATGATGAGACCACGAACGTGTCGTGAGTTATCAGTCTCGGCAGTTGAAGTCTGCCGAGCGTAATTACACTGTTCATGACAAAGATTTGCTAGCCATGCGTTACGCACTAGTGAAGTTTCGCGTACATCCGCTTGTGGATTGACTACAAGTGCTACCAGGTGTAGCCAAGGTACTGTATCCACGCTACCTATGGACTATGTACAGATGTACTATGTGCAGCAGAAGTAGTCAAACTACTGTAGCAAAGCTACTTATGCACTATGTGCAGAGAAAGACAAATTCAGAGAGATTCTACGTTTTAGGGTGCTTAACTCTCCTAGGCTAGCTCGTAAGCTTGTGCCTATCGGTTGTTGTAATCGAGTCTCAGAGCGACTAGTATCAAAGATACTGATTCCTCAGGAGATAGAGCACGCTCAAGCAGTGATGCTTATAGAGCAGGTTCATACTGGTTTGTATTTATGTTTAACGTCTAACACTAAATATAAAAGCACCTACTCTATACTTAGTGCTAGTCACTATATACTAGCTCCAAAGCCTGTTATCATTATGCAAACATATATAGTTTCTATACATCACTAAGTAGGCTCTCTGCCACGATGAGATCCTTCGTACTTCAGGTACGGTCACCTCACCTACTTTTGTGCCGAAGGTACAGCCACACTCCATTGGTGTGGCAGGTGTGTATGTACAATACACACCTTCGTGTAACCCTGTTACATTTTTAAACCGTCCCACTTACGGCGTCAAAGCTGGCAGAAGCTTACTTGGAAGCAAGTGTACCTGAAGGTGTTTTCAATGTAGTATTGGGGGCAGGTGAGACTGGAAAAGCTTTGGTACGACATCCAGATATTGCCAAGGTCTCGTTTACAGGCTCAGTCACTATGTGCAGAGGATGTAGCCAAGCTACTGTAGCAAAGCTACTTATGCACTATGTGCAGATGATGTAGCCAAGCTACTGTAGCAAAGCTACTTGATGTGACCCTTCGTATTCCAGGTACGGTCACATCACCTACTTTTGTGCCCAAGGTACAGCCACACTCCATTGGTGTGGCAGGTGTGTATGTACAATACACACCTTCGTGTAACCCCGTTACATTCTTAAACTGTCCCACTTACGGTGTCAAAACTGGCAGAAAGCTTACTTGGAAGCAAGTGTACCTGAAGGTGTTTTCAATGTAGTATTGGGGGCAGGTGAGACTGGAAAAGCTTTGGTACGACATCCAGATATTGCCAAGGTCTCGTTTACAGGCTCAGTCACTATGTGCAGAGGACGTAGCCAAGCTACTGTAGCAAAGTTACTTATGCACTATGTGCAGAAGATGTAGCAAGCTACTGTAGCAAAGTTACTTATGCACTATGTGCAGAGGATGTAAGCCAAGCTACTGTAGCAAAGCTACTTATATGACCCCCCCCCCCCCCCCCCCCCCCCCCCCCGCTATGTGCAGAGGATGTAGCAAGCTACTGTAGCAAAGCTACTTATGCACTATGTGCAGAGGATGTAGCCAAGCTACTGTAGCAAAGCTACTTATGCACTATGTGCAGAGGATGTAGCCAAGCTACTGTAGCAAAGCTATTTGATGTGACCCTTCGTACTTCAGGTACGGTCACATCACCTACTTTTGTGCCCAAGGTACAGCCACACTCCATTGGTGTGGCAGGTGTGTATGTACAATACACACCTTCGTGTAACCCCGTTACATTCTTAAACTGTCCCACTTACGGTGTCAAAACTGGCAGAATAAGCTTACTTGGAAGCAAGTGTACCTGAAGGTGTTTTCAATGTAGTATTGGGGGCAGGTGAGACTGGAAAAGCTTTGGTACGACATCCAGATATTGCCAAGGTCTCGTTTACAGGCTCAGTCACTATGTGCAGAGGATGTAGCCAAGCTACTGTAGCAAAGCTACTTATGCACTATGTGCAGAGGATGTAGCCAAGCTACTGTAGCAAAGCTACTTAATGCGACCCTTCGTATTTCAAGTACGGTCACATCACCTACTTTTGTGCCCAAGGTACAGCCACACTCCATTGGTGTGGCAGGTGTGTATGTACAATACACACCTTCGTGTAACCCCGTTACATTCTTAAACTGTCCCACTTACGGTGTCAAAACTGGCAGAAGAAGCTTACTTGGAAGCAAGTGTACCTGAAGGTGTTTTCAATGTAGTATTGGGGGCAGATGAGACTGGAAAAACTTTGTTACGACATCCAAATTTTTGGACTCCGGAACGGTTGACAAGAGCTGTGTTTGAGCAGCCTCTCCGCATTGACCGGCACTTGGTGTGTTTAGTGCCTTAGATGGTGAAAATATAAGTGGCATAGGAGGCGACAACTCGGATCCCATAATGTCCTTGTGCAACTCTCTAGAGTTGGAACAGACTTGCACAAGGATTGCAACTCGCTTGCTGAGCAGCAATCGCGGTTTCTCTGGTTTTCAGACGTCAGGCCTTGGAAACGCACGGTCAACATTCATAAAGGTGCTAAAGAAAGATCCAGTGTTGAGTGCACCGCGTTGTCTACGTACATACCTTCACGCAGCTGTGGCCAGCTGATGTAAGATCCATTTTATCCAAAGGAGAAGTGGAGCTACCCAGCAATGGAATAGGGTGGTTTTCGCCAAAGAGCTTATTTCTGATTCGGCGACTTTGGTTATTAGTCTCAGTCAGCTGCTGGGACTCCAATGATCTCCATGCTAGAGGATTCTCCGATATCGCTACTTCACGTGGATCATTCGTTCGATTCCATGAAAAGGCAAACGATGCTGATACTGTCATACTAATTGCAAGGTCCTCCGACTTATCTGTCTCAATACGACACTTTCCTTTCACGTGCGGCGACGACTGCAACTTGATTTTGAAAAAGTCGAGCAGACCGCTGATGTAGCTATGATTGAAGTTCAGTTCTGAAATAGATTCTGTTTCAAACGACATTGACACGTTGCCTGGGGCTTCAGGAACTGCTAATCCAATCCACGTGCCATGAGACGGCTCAAACACTGGTACAAACGCGGGAATCGTGCGAATTACAGTTGTTTAACGCCATGTTCAGCGCCGACAGCAGCATCCCTCTTTCGTTCTGATTAACTGAAATATCTGCCATTACGCCTTCATCCTGTCCATTGCAAGCGTCCTCCTCTTTTTTCACTCTGAGATGGTTTTCCTTCTATTGAGTTCCATGAAAATTCTTTATTAACGTCTCCATCATTCTTAACACTAGTTTCTCTCGCATCTTCCTGCTGCTGCTTTTCTGTCCCATATCAAGACGACTTGCTAAGTAACAAAAACTCATCCAAACCAACAACCATTTTTGAACGTTTTTAACGACTGTTGCCGATAGAATTGCGGCTTCACGTCTGCCTCAAAGGCCGACGCGGAGAGCGAGATACTCGTTCCTGTCTCCTTTTCCTTCTCAATCTCAGACATTTCAATCCCCCCTCATTTCCCACAGATAGTCTTTACTGGCATCATCTACTGAAAGCATTGTCGGTGTAAAATACTCAAGCCCGTTTGCCATTTCTTGAGTTCCCAGTAGCGTTTTAAACGGAAGCATTAGGCTCTTCGTTCTGCCGTGTGTCGTGGTGTCTGGCTACAAACAATGTCAGTGTATAGCCGTTACGCATCTTGGTTCCTGGCAATTGATGTTGCAGTTTTTTCGCCCACACGGCGGCGTCTAAAGCTGCAGCTTGGCGCCGCTTTTGAGGTCGTAGCCGTTTGGCAGAAATGCCATTCAGCGTCTCGAGCGATGCATGGCCCTTGTTGTCCAGATGCCAACCTATCAACGCCTGTTCTGTATCCGAGATATACTGCTCCAGGTCTGTTGCGTTTGTAAAGTCGACGAATCGGCTGCTCGGATCTTCCTCCATCTGCATTAATCGCGTTAGGGCTCTTGGGAAATTTAGGCGAATACTTTAAAATCTTAAAAATAATATGATGTTGCATGCAGCTGTAGAAAAGTAATTTGAGGCGAGGATTGGTCAAAAAGGTCGTATGTCTAAAAACGAGGGTAAACATTGGTAAAAACAATACGACGTGGAGCAGTTGCTCTAGACGGTGACGCACGTAAAGATGTATATCAGGTGGGAGCAGATCGCAAAGCAGAGGCTTGTGGTGATTAGGGTCGCAGATAGATCTGAAGTTACCGGCTCATTTGCCGTTGACCTTTGCTAGAAAGACTTGACTAAGGCAGCAGCAAAAGTAGTAGGATAAAATTCCGAGTTAAATGTAACTTGGTTACACGAAGGTGTGTATTTTATATACACACCTGCCACACCAATGTGGTGTGGCTGTACCTTGCGTACAAACGTAGGTGATATGACCGCATCTGAAGTACGAAGGATCGCATCGTGGCAGAGAGCCAACAGGTCATTATACTTTTTTAAAGTATAGTGACTATGCATGTTTGCATAATAATAACAGGCTATAGAGCCAGTAAATAGTGACTAGCACTAAGTATAGAGTAGGTGCTTCTATATTTAGTGTTAGAAGATAGACATAAATATAAATCAGTTTCAAATCTGCTCTATAAGCATCACTGCTTGAGCTTTCTATTCCTCCTGAGAAATCTATATCTTTGATACTAGTCTCGTTGAGACACGGTTGCAACAACCGATAGGCACAAGCTTACGAGCTAGCCTAATAAGGGTTAAACACCCTAATACGTCGAAGCTCTCTGAGCTTGTCTTCCTCTACACATAGTGCATAATTATCTTGGCTACAGTAGCTCGGCTACAACTGGTAGCACTTGTAGTCAATCCCGCACCTGGGTTTGCGACTACTTCTCTGTCTGAGAATGGACATAGATGAGATGTCAGCGGTTGGCCTGTCACAAGCCCAACAGGAAGGGTTACAGAAGCTGCTCCTTTTCCTTGGCCCTAAGGGAGTAGAGTACCTCATCGCCCAAGGCGAAGAAGAGGTTAACAAGCGTATTCATATGCTTGATGAATATAATAAAGCTCTAGTCGAGCATGTAAAGGCACAGATGCCTTCTTCTGCGCCTTCGCCCATGGCGACTATGGTGCAAGAAGTGGTCCGCAGACCAAAACCCATACAAATGGAAGTCGATAAGTTCGACGGCAAAGAAGGTGACAACCTTATGCTTTGGTTCCGACAGGTTGAGCCGGCTATGTTTATAGCCGACATCACCTATGAACCGTACGTGGAGATTTGCCACGGGAAAGTTAGGTGGCTTAGCCAAACAGTGGGCATTCACATGTGGTGCATCACTGCACGATGCTTTTCCCACATGGTCCGATCTGAAAGTTCAGATGACCCGGCAGTATGCACCGCCAAACCAAGCACATTGTAATCGGTCGCGGTTTTTGGCATGTCGCCAAGGCAAGCGTGAGCTTGCGGAATATGTACAAGAGTTGAAAACTCTCATTGCTGCCATGGTCATAGACCCTATGCCTGAGGCAGTGACCGTCACGGTCTTTATGGAGGGCCTCCGAGTTGGCGTTGCCAGAACGGAAGTCTTCCGGGTAAACCCGTCCTCATTCGAGGAAGCTGTTGTAGTGGCATGGAATGCCGAGACCAACTTTAAGGCCGCTAGGCCTGCCACTTATAACTACTCGTCTGATGGGTCTGTCTGTACCCATGGACTGTAGCCAAGTGGAGGATGCAGAAGCTGAGCTTCAAGCTGCGGAGCAGCAAATTGTGCGCAGATGTTATATCTGCAAGAGCACAGGCCATTTGATGGCAAAATGTCCTGCCTGAAAGGCATATTTGGCCTCGAAGGGCCGACGCCCCATGGGTAAAACCCTCTGGTTTGCCGCGGGGAAACGGCGGAGCCCAGTAGGCGCGGGCGTCCTACTGGGGAAGAACTGAGTTCTGTTGAACCTCTGAGGAGGTAGAAGTAAACAGGGCCCAGCCCCAAAGAGATTCGAACTCTCAAAAATGGAACGAGAATGCAAGCCAGGCTTGCTACTCGTCGAAGGGACGATTAAGGGCTATGATAAGCCATGGATCCTTTTGATCGATTCGGGGGCATCGGGCAATTATGTGCGCCGTGCCACCGTGGAAGGTAGTCAGCAGTATGCTGAAGCGCTTGTAGCGCGTGAAAGTGACACAGTCACGCCTCGCTTAGCGACTGGTACGCGTGTTACGGTACCCAAGTCTCGATGGAGTTAGTTGTAAAGTTCTTGGACTTTAACAGCATGCAACGCTGTTTGGTCTTAGACCTGGATGCGAGGTATGACCTCATCCTAGGCATGGCATGGCTAGAACGTCATAAGCCATGGATTGATTGGAGGTCAAAGACCTTAGACGCAACGCGCAATGCTTCTGGTGGGGCTCTGGAGAGTCATGAACCCACCTCTGCTAGGAAGCAAAAGTGCTTTTGGCGCGGATATTGGACCGAGTCGGTCAATATGTTGGATGTCGGAATATCCGACTTTGTAGACACTGTAAGTGTCGAGGACAATAGTCTTGGGCGAGGCCCAAGGACTGTCGATAGTGGGGTTGAGAACCTACTAGATGGCACATATGACATGTGTCATGAGAATGATGTTACATCATTAAACACCGTGAGTGGTGTTGGTGGCTGCAAGCCAAGATGTCAGGACATGAGTCCAAGTGACATGAGTGACGAGGAACTGACCCTGGAGGGCCGGGTGAAATCACCAATGGATGTTGTCTTTGGGGGCAACGAGGTGCATGCACCTAACGACGAGGTACTGACCCTGGAGGGTCGAGTGAAGTCATCAATGGATGTTATCTTTGAGGACAACGAGGTGCATGCACCTAACGACGAGGTACTGGCCCTGGAGGGTCGGGCAAAGTCAAAAATGACAGTTGTGTTTGAGTACAACGAGATGCGAGCACCTCATGACGAGACATTGACCCAAGAGGGTCGGGTGCAGTCAGTAAACGAAGTGGTCTTTGACCTTGAGGTGTGTACACCTGTTGACGCTGAGGCGTCGGATGCTGAGAGCGTCATGAGTAGAGATGATGATATCGTGAGTGACGGTGATAGCGAACAGCTATATACACTCGTCAATGGTTTGACTGGGGATGTTGAAGATCTGGCGGCCCATTCAGCTGTACCCGCAGTAAGTGCTCTGTTAGAGCTGGACGAGTTGTCCTTTGCCGAGTTTGGCATTGCCTTACAGGCAGGCGACATCGCCGAAGTGGTCGTTATACGACCTGAGGAGGAGTTGAACTCCTCATCGCTTTTGGATAAAACAGTTCTTGAAGGCGTCAAGAAGGCGCTGAATGCGCGGAGGGGATCACAGATCCTGAAGGATCCTTCGGATCCTTATTTTCCTTTGTTGAAGGAATATGGAGATGTTGTCTCCAGAGAACCTCCTACAGTGTTACCTCCAGATAGAGGTGTACGTCATGAGATTGACTTGGTTTTAGGAACCAAATATTGTGTGACGCGACAGTGGCCGCTGCCACGAGAACAATGTGACCGTCATTGACGAGTTCTTTCGTGCAAAGCACGCGGCTGGCATGGTGCGTGAGAGTAAGCCTCCTCACTCTACGCCTACGTTTTGTGTAAGGAAGCCTAATGGGAAGTGGCGAACAGTGCATGCTTACAATAAGCTGAATGCAGCCACTATCCCGGCTCAAACACCGATTCATCGCAAGGATGTTCTTCAGAACAATATGGAGGGATGTACAATGTACAATGCCCTCGACTTAGTCGATGGATATTACCAACTGCTCATGCGAGCTAGTGATATCCCGCTGACAGTGGTCAGCACTCCGAGTGGCATGCTCTGGGAGTGGTTAGTGATGTCCTAAGGGCTGTCTAGCGCACCTGCAACGTTTAATCGTCTAGTGACGCAGTTGTTTCGGCCCCATAGGGCGTATGCACAGACATACTTTGACGATATATTCGTCCATAGTCGAGCCAAAACTGGCAAGACTGATGTGGAGAAGTCACATTGAGCACCTGCGATCTGTGCTCGGTTGCATGAGGATGCATAAGTTATATGCCAATATTGACAAATGCATCTTCGGTGCGGAAGAGATTCCCTTTTTGGGATGCTTCATTGGGAAGCAAGGAATCCCGGCAGACCTTGTCGAGGTCAAAGCCATAGTGGATTGGCCGGTTCCGAGGAACCAGAAGGACCCTTCCACGCAAGTGGTTGGGTTTGGCAAATTACTTGCACAAGTATAGCCACAACTATGCGGAAGTGGCTAGGCCATTGTCGAATCTCCTTAAGAAGGATGTGGAATGGTGTTGGAACACCGAACACCACGAGGCTTTTGAAGCCATAAAGGAGAGTCTCCTTTAGGCGCCAATTCTGGCTTTGCCTGATCCTGATCGCCCGTTTAGCATAGTATGTGACGCTTCGGACTTTGCCATTGGCAGTGAACTTTTGCAAGTTGACTCGGAGGGTTGAGAACGCGTCATTGCGTTTGAGTCTCGCCAGATGAAAGCTGCAGAGAAGAACTATCCAGTTCATGACAAGGAGCTACTTGCGATGAAGTATGCCCTTGTTAAGTTCAGGGTACACCTGTTGGGCTCAAAGCCGTTTGTGATCTATACAGATCATGCGTCGTTACCCACAGCGACACAGCCGCCTCATTTCTCGCAGAGAATGGCTCGTTGGCTCTCCTTTTTCGCGGAGTCTAACTTTCGAGGTGAAGTATAAGCCGGGAAAACAGAATGTTTTGGCTGACGCGTTATCGCGTAGACCTGACTATGAGCTTGTTCATCTCACTGTTGTGAGTTCGTCAGTAACGGATCGTATCCGTGTGGCGTATGCACGCGATGAGGCATGTGTTGCCATTGTGCAGGCGCTGGGTAGCGCAGAGTTTGAAAACTCTAAGGTGAAGCTGTCACCACGTAATCGTGCGAGATTACATCGTTATGCACTGACCGATGGTCTGTTGTACTATAGTACAGGGTCGGATGACCAGCCTCGTGTTGTGGTGCCTCATGATGAGGACCTCAAGTGTCAGATACTTTTATGAGGCTCATGATACACCACTTGGTGGTCATTTAGGTCGTTAGAAGACCTACAGCTCGGTGAGCACCCATTATTGGTGGCCCAAGTTGTATAAATGGGTTGGTACATATGTACGCACGTGTGAAACGTGTCATAGGGTGAGGACATCGCCTAGTATGGCTGCGCCTTTGGCGAGTTTGCCTGTACCCTCGGGGTTGTGGCAGTCCAGTAGTATGGACTTTGTGTTTGGCCTACCGCGTGATGCAGCAGGCAACACTGGGATTGTGGTCTTTGTTGACCAGCTGAGCAAGATGGCTCACTTAGCAGCAGTGTCGGACTCCATTGATGGAGAAGGAACATCAAAGCTGTTCATGGATCGTGTGTTTAGACAACACGGATTGCCAGTGGCAATCGTCTCGGATAGAGACCCCCGTTTTACGGGTAAGTTTTGGATGTCCGTCTTTAAAGTGCTCGGCACTCGACTAGACATGTCCACGGCGGATCATCCACAGACCGATGGTCAGACAGAACGCGTGGATCGCGTTATTGGTGATATGATTTGCGGTGTTTGTGCTGAAACACCCAAGCAATGGAGCACGATGCTCCCTCTGGTAGAGTTTGCGTTGAATATCGCGGTGCATGCCTCGACAGGCTTCACCCCATTCTATGTGATTGGTTTGGTCCTAACCCTCGCGTTCCTTTAACGCTACCCCCTGCCACGTCAGGGCTTAGTTGGGGAGAGATAGCCGAAGGCTTGGCTGATATCAGCCCTGTTGCGATGCGCAAGAAGGTGGAAGCGTTTCTGTCAACGCGTTTTGACGTATTACGTCGCGTCAAAGACGCTATGGCTGAAAGCCAGGATGTTCAAAAGGAACACGCGGATGCCAAAGGCAGGAAGAACGAACATGAGTTCAAAAAAAGAACTGGGACATTTGGTTTTATTAAACGCTAGGAATTTTCCTACACGCGCAGTGTCTGCGGTATATAAAACCAAACTGCGTCCACGCTTTGTTGGACCTTTTAAGGTCATAAGCAAGAAAGGTTTGGCCTATACGCTGAACCTTCCGAAGAAGATGCGAACACACCCTGTGTTCTACGTGGGCTTACTTAAGCCATATCTCAACCCAGCCTTGATGGACTTTGAGGGGTTTTCCCCCATACCCCCCGGCCGAAGGAGGCGGGTAGTACTGCACCGGAGGTGCATATGGACGCTGAAGGCGTACCAAAAGATCATGGATCGATGGGTCACCGACCCCCGCCAACGCTGACTGATGATCTGTGTCGCCAACAGCTTCACGTCGAGCGTCTCTTGGCGCGACGTCGTCACCAGGGCCACACCCAGTATCTGGTAAAGTGGAGGTGGTACCCTCAGTCGTATGACTCATGGGAGTACGAGGTACCCCCTACGTCAAGACTGCCCCGGACGTCGTCGAAGCTTTTGATCGGGAAGATCAGAAGCGGCGACAGCAGTCGACGGGTGCTTCCTAGCGCTAAGTGCTGTGGAAGCAAGGTCAGTAGTTAGGCTTCACCTCTGACCTTCTTGGGAAGCAGTTGCTGGTACCTCACTCGCGTGAAAAGTACTATTATCTGCTTCAGAAGCAAAAATTACGGCGTATATGGCTTTGTCTATATATTACGCAAAGCGTAAAGACTTGGGGAGCTCAAACAGCAAGTGGATATAGCACGCTATGGCTCCATGAGCATGTGCTGGGCACTTCGGTGCATTTAAGTAAGTGTAAAACACTTAGCTGCTATATAAGTACACGTAAATCATAATGAAGCTTCAAAAGCAAGTTTACGACACTTGGGGGCTTTATATAAGCAAGTGGTAAACAATGTTGTGCTTTATAAGCAAAAGTAATACTTTGTGGGGCTTTATATAAGCAAGTGTAAAGTACTAGGAAGCTTTATCAGAAGTGTACAACACTTTGGGTTTATATAAGCAAGTTTTAAACTCTAAAAGGCTTTATAGAAGCCAGTGTTCAACACTAAGGTGCCTTATAAGCACGTGTTAAACATTTAGTTGCTTTATAAGCGAGTGGTGAACACTATGGTGCTTTATGAGCGAGTGCTGAACACTAAGGTGCCTTATAAGCAAGTGTTAAGCGAGGATGTGCTTCATAATCAAGTGTTCACTTAGGTGCTTGATAAGCTAGTGTTATAACACTATGGGATAAAGCTATGTTAGGGGGGGTACAGTATGGTACTTACATAACCGCTAAAGTGAAGCACTAAATGTGCTTTATAAGCAAGTGTTAGCACACTAAGGTGCATTATTAGCTAGTGTTAGACACTAATGTGCTTTATAAGCTAGTGTTACACATTACGGTGCTTTATGAGCTAGTGTTACTCACTTATATGCTCAAACGCTTAAAAGCAAGTGTTTAAAACACTGGAATGTTTTAAAGGAAGTGCCAGGCATTTGATGCTGTAAAGCAAGTTGTTCGTGAATTCACTAATGGGCATTACAATACCAAGTGCTAGGCACTCAACGCTTATAAGCAAGTGTCGTAATACTATAACTCTTTAGCGTGAGTGCAATGCACTGTATGCTAAAGGAGCAAGTGTCGAAACACTAGGGTGCGACTATAATAGCGTGTTTGCATAGCACAGGTGCTCAAAGAGCGTAGTGTCGTAACTATTTCGCAAGTGCGAGGCACTTAATTGCGAGGTAAGCAAAATGGGAACAAAATGAAAACGGCAAAAAGTACACGTTAAGTTCGAAAATCGTGGGTTAGCCGGGTCCCACGGATTGGTGGGGGAGGGTGTAACGCGGTTACACGAAGGTGTGTATTGTACATACACACCTGCCACGCCATTGTGGTATGGCTGTACCTTGGGTACAGTGGTAGGGTGATGTGACCGTACCTAAAGGTTCGAAGGGTCGCATCGTGGCAGAGAGCCACGTGGTCACTATATTTTTTTTAATATTTTGGAAATAAAAAAATTTATATTAAAAAAAAAAAAAAAAACAGATAAATAGTGACTAGCACTAAGTATAGAGTAGGTGCTTCTATATTTAGTGCTAGAAGTTAAACATCTAAATACAAACCAGCTTCAAACCTGCTCTAACAAGCATCACTGCTTGAGCGTTCTATCCTCCTGAAAAATCAGAAGTTGTATCTTTGATACTAGTCTCTCTGAGACTCGTTGTTCATAACCGATAGGCACAAGCTTACGAGCTAGCCTAGGAGGGTTAAGCACCCTAAGACGTAAATGCTCTCTGAGCTTGTCTCACCCAATTTAATCGTGTTTTCTCACTTGCGCAGACGATATGACCATTAAACTATAAGATTGGGACAAGAAATGTTACATGTTCACAAGTATTTGAAGGTCACGAACACTATATTTTGATGGTGAAGTTTAATCCAGAGGACGCACATTCGTTTGCAAGCGCATGTTTCGATAGAATTGTTAGAGTCTGGGGCCTTGGCTCCAGTCATGCCCATTTATCCCTTGAAGGACACGATCGTGGCGTCAACTGCGTCGCTTATTAACCAGGTGGAGACAAACCTTACCTGCTGTCGGGTAGTGACGATCGTACAGGCAAGGCGTGGGACTACCAGACGAAGGATTTCGTCCACACGTTGGACGGGCATGGCAATAACTTGACATCGGTGTTGTACCACCCAAGGCTACCAATGATCATTTTAGCCTGTGAAGATGGTGCCGTGATGATGTGGGAGACGACACCCAACTACGGCATAGAACGTAGTTGGTCGCTTGCGGCGCCACCTTCAGCCAACACACTGGCGATCGACTACGACGAGGGCACTGTTGTGTTGAGGCTAGGGCACGATACTCCTGTCCTGAGTATGGACGCTGGTGGCAGCGAAAAGCTCATCTGGACGACTAACAATGACGTTTACACCGCCAGTGTCAAGGGGGTGGTGACGGAGATGAGTCTCCAGGACGGCGAAAAACTGCCGCTTGTTTCAAGAGATCTAGGAAGCTGCGAAGTGTACCCTCAAACAGTACAGCACAACAGCAACGGCCGCACGTAGTGACTTGCGGTGACGGCGAGTACATCATCTAAGGGGCACAGCATTTGCGTAATAAGGCCTATGGTACTGCGCTAGATTTCAGCTGGTCACTAACAGGCACCAGCGACTACGTTATACGTGAGAGCACTTCGAAGCTCACACTGTTTCGTAACTTAAGGAAGTTAAGAGCGAGAAGCCTCCGATGCTGTGTGCCGAAGGTCTGTTTGGAGGCACTGGTGCCATCGGCGTCAAGGGTAATGACGCGATCGCCATGTTTGAGTGGGAGGAGCTGCGGCTGATTCGTAAGATCGACGTGGTGGTCAAAAATGTAATTCGGTCTGAAAATGCAGCCTCGTCGTACTTGCTAACGAGTCAAATTTTTTCGTGCTGCGGTACAATAAGGCAGTGGTGGCACAGTCTTTTGCTGCTGGCACGAACTCACCTGATGAAAGTATTGATGGCGCCTTTGATCTGCTCCACAAAATCTCTGAGAAGGTTGACACGGGCACCTGGGTTGGAGATTGCTTGATGTACACTAACGCTGGCGGTAGACTCGACTACTACGCGCGCGGTGAGGTAATGACGCTTGCTCACTTAGAGCAGAAGATGTATCTGCTCGGGTACTTCTTCGTGAAAACCTGGTATTTTTAATGGACAAAATGAAAAAATGTGGTGAGTTACACGGTTTCGCTAGTAATGCTAGAGTACCAAACTGCTGCGGTGCGTCTTGACTTTAAGAGTGCAAACGACATCTGCCCAAGATTCCGGCAGACCAAATGGATTACGTGGCCCGTTTTCTAGAGTCATAGGGATTTAAAATAGAGGCTTTTGTTTTAAGCACTGACCCCGACCAAAATTCATCTTGCTGCGCAACTTGCAAAGCTGGACGTAGCGCGTGATGTTCTGTTGCTGGAAACTGACAAGGCTGACAAAAGCAGTTCTATGTTATCACCTACCTTCTAATAATTGAATTATTGCCTGCTTGGTGGACAGACTGGTCATATTAAGATCAAATAAAGTAACAGATAAGTGCTTCTCTTGTCCGTCATTATTCGTCCAGTTACACTTTTTTCGAGTTCCGTTCTCTTTGCAGCAACATCCATAATTCGTACAACTTGTATGTGTGACATTCGTTGCAGTCTCTCACGAGTAAATCAAAACCAATTCTATTTGTTTCCATCACAGTTTGAACATGGATTCATTTCCACTTATGTACAATAGAAAATGATCTCCGTTTCTCTCATTTAACTTTTGTCCGAATTGAAAAAATGGAAAGCTCTTTTGTGGGATTGTTGGTATGGCGAAGAGCGCGTTCTTGGTACGAGTATATGAAGCCAACACGGTATATGACTCAAAGGTTGCTATTGAAGCGGAGAAGCCGGACGAGCTAAAGGACGTGGATGCATTTAAATTGCAACTGTTTCTGGCAAAGAAAGACGCAAGCGTGTGGCTGTCATCTCGCTCGGAAGGCGCAACGAGGGTGAAAAAACTGCTCTTTTTGAAACGTTGACAAAAAAACGAAGAGTTCCCGGGTGAGGACCCATTGGAGGACGTGCTGAACGGTATGGATCCTCCATTGCCTAGCCAGATCAACGTGTTGGTGAAGCTACCGGGACAAATTGCAGATGCTGGTTTGCTTTAGCCAGCAATGCAGATTCCAAAGATGACTGAAGTGGTCGTGCCAGAAAAATACGCTGAAGAATGCAGATTACTGGATGAATGGGATATCAATGCTGTGCACGAGATTCCTTCCATCTGCGAATTTATGAGGAACTTGGGAGGATGCACTAAACATGGACAAATTGATTGAAGAATGAAATATAAGCAAGTGGTGTCGCTGCTGTTAGAAGGATGGTTTTTAAAGTCTTCTCTTGAAAGCAGCTATTTTTGTGAAATGATGCAGGGTGTCGTGGTGGGCTCGCCGGGCATTGGTAAGTCGACGATGTTATGCATAATGGCCTTTTATCTCGTTTTCAGGCACAATAAAAATGTGCTGGTGTACCGGCGAATGGTCCAGTTACGAGAGGAGTACTATCTCATTTATCTAGGTCACGAGAATAAGAAGGTCGTGCAGTATACAGTTGCGCGATGTACTACACCGAATGCGACTGACATATATGAGGAGCTTATCCGCCAAAAGGGCGTATCAAACGTATAATTGTAGATGGATGGATTTCGATCTGACGATATTTCTGAGGGTATGGGGGCTTTCAAGATCACAGCAAGTGACTTTGAAGTCAGGAGAAGAAGAAAGTGCTTACTGCTCTTTGTTGCCTTGTTGGTCGAAGACGGATCTCTTGTCGCTGGGAAGTCTTATTTTCAACTACAACGTTAACGATATGGAAGAGCGTTTTGCTTACTCTGGTGGAAGCGTACGTGAGTTTACACGCACTAGATTAGTGGGCATACGTATTCAAATTCATAAAGCGGTCAGTAGCGTGGCTGATGTCTTCAGCCAGCTATCTTACTCTAATACGTTAACGGGGAGATTTCAAGTTGATTGTTTGCGCCATACATTTGTCAAAAAGATGAGAGCGATCAAGAACATTATCTTTACAGGGAGTATTGGGTACAAGTTATCGACTCAAAATATTCTATTTCTACTCTGTCGTCGAGACTCAAATCGGATGCGCTGTTTCGGATTCATACGTGGTCAAAAAGCGCTGGACCTAATCGCTTACGGGAAGCGTTTTCGAAATCTATATACATCGCCTAGCTGCCAATAAGATATTACGATTGTACGTTTCAGAATACGATCAGCTAGAAAGAAGGAGACCAAACGAAGAGCGGCATTTTAGTAGTGAAGCAGATGCTATTGCGGAGTGGTGAGGCACGACACGCGATTATGTAAACGAACTGACGCGAATGGCTAGATGATGACAAGTACGCGTAATGGTTTCCTTTCTGTCATGATTTGCCGAATATTATAGCATCGTGAAGCTTGAGAGAAAGCGGTCATCCAGCAAGAAGAGTAATGTGGCGTATCTTCAGTTCACTGTTAAAGCAGGCATAAAATTGATGGCACGCAGCTGCAGAAGATGAACGAGATCTTTTATCCAGACCATGTAAGGAATGCTGGCGATAACGAAGCACCAATTTACGTTGCTGTTTGTCCGGATCTTGAATCGCGCAAAGCGCTTGTTTTGAAGCCATCATTTGAGGTTACTGCAGCAAGAAACACATGCCGGCTATATGTAAGCTACTACAGCGAGATGCAATTTGCCACTGCCACTGATGGCCCCATTAAATTAATTTCCGACCTCCAAATGAAGCCTTGCCTTCTCGACCATTCAACTTTCGAGCAAAGCGATTACGGGAGGAGTAGCAAGATGCATTTTTGTCATGTGTAGTCTGAAACGGTGAACAGACTATGTAGGTTTGATATAAACTTAGGTGTCGTTTGCATCAATGAATTCATGTGCTTTGGTTCTGTTTTTGAGTTTATGCTTTGCAACTGACGATGCAGTTGGTGTTGAAGATTAAGGTGCTGAACGTCAAGTGCTTTGCTACAGTAGCTTGGCTACATCCCCTGCACATAGTGCATAAGTAGCTTTGCTACAGTAGCTTGGCTACATCCTCTGCACATAGTGCATAAGTAGCTTTGCTACAGTAGCTTGCTACATCCTCTGCACATAGTGACTGAGCCTGTAAACGAGACCTTGGCAATATCTGGATGTCGTACCAAAGTTTTTCCAGTCTCACCTGCCCCCAATACTACATGGAAAACACCTTCAGGTACACTTGCTTCCAAGTAAGCTTCTGCCAGCTTTGACGCCGTAAGTGGGACGGTTTAAAAATGTAACGGGGTTACACGAAGGTGTGTATTGTACATACACACCTGCCACACCAATGGAGTGTGGCTGTACCTTGGGTACAAAAGTAGGTGATGTGACCGTACCTGAAATACGAAGGGTCGCATCAAATAGCTTTGCTACAGTAGCTTGGCTACATCCTCTGCACATAGTGCATAAGTAGCTTTGCTACAGTAGCTTGCTACATCCTCTGCACATAGTGACTGAGCCTGTAAACGAGACCTTGGCAATATCTGGATGTCGTACCAAAGTTTTTCCAGTCTCACCTGCCCCCAATACTACATGGAAAACACCTTCAGGTACACTTGCTTCCAAGTAAGCTTCTGCCAGCTTTGACGCCGTAAGTGGGACGGTTTAAGAATGTAACGGGGTTACACGAAGGTGTGTATTGTACATACACACCTGCCACACCAATGGAGTGTGGCTGTACCTTGGGTACAAAAGTAGGTGATGTGACCGTACTTGAAATACGAAGGGTCGCATCAAATAGCTTTGCTACAGTAGCTTGGCTACATCCTCTGCACATAGTGCATAAGTAGCTTTGCTACAGTAGCTTGCTACATCCTCTGCACATAGTGACTGAGCCTGTAAACGAGACCTTGGCAATATCTGGATGTCGTACCAAAGCTTTTCCAGTCTCACCTGCCCCCCAATACTACATTGAAAACACCTTCAGGTACACTTGCTTCCAAGTAAGCTTCTGCCAGTTTTGACGCCGTAAGTGGGACGGTTTAAGAATGTAACGGGGTTACACGAAGGTGTGTATTGTACATACACACCTGCCACACCAATGGAGTGTGGCTGTACCTTGGGCACAAAAGTAGGTGATGTGACCGTACTTGAAATACGAAGGGTCGCATCAAATAGCTTTGCTACAGTAGCTTGGCTACATCCTCTGCACATAGTGCATAAGTAGCTTTGCTACAGTAGCTTGGCTACATCCTCTGCACATAGTGCATAAGTAGCTTTGCTACAGTAGCTTGCTACATCCTCTGCACATAGTGACTGAGCCTGTAAACGAGACCTTGGCAATATCTGGATGTCGTACCAAAGCTTTTCCAGTCTCACCTGCCCCCAATACTACATTGAAAACACCTTCAGGTACACTTGCTTCCAAGTAAGCTTCTGCCAGTTTTGACGCCGTAAGTGGGACGGTTTAAGAATGTAACGGGGTTACACGAAGGTGTGTATTGTACATACACACCTGCCACACCAATGGAGTGTGGCTGTACCTTGGGTACAAAAGTAGGTGATGTGACCGTACCTGAAATACGAAGGGTCGCATCAAATAGCTTTGCTACAGTAGCTTGGCTACATCCTCTGCACATAGTGCATAAGTAGCTTTGCTACAGTAGCTTGCTACATCCTCTGCACATAGTGACTGAGCCTGTAAACGAGACCTTGGCAATATCTGGATGTCGTACCAAAGCTTTTCCAGTCTCACCTGCCCCCAATACTACATTGAAAACACCTTCAGGTACACTTGCTTCCAAGTAAGCTTTCTGCCAGTTTTGACGCCGTAAGTGGGACGGTTTAAGAATGTAACGGGGTTACACGAAGGTGTGTATTGTACATACACACCTGCCACACCAATGGAGTGTGGCTGTACCTTGGGTACAAAAGTAGGTGATGTGACCGTACTTGAAATACGAAGGGTCGCATCAAATAGCTTTGCTACAGTAGCTTGGCTACATCCTCTGCACATAGTGCATAAGTAGCTTTGCTACAGTAGTTTGGCTATACCTTGTAGCACTTGTAGTTAATCCCGCACCTGGGTTTGCGACTACTTCTCTGTGTGAGAATGGACATAGATGAGAGATGTCAGCAATTGGCCTGTCACAGGCCCAACAGGAAGGGTTGCAGAAGCTGCTCCTTTTCCTTGGCCCTAAGGGAGTAGAGCACCTCGTCGACCAAGGCGAAGAAGAGGTTAACAAGCGTATTCATATACTTGTTGAATATAATAAAGCTCTAGTCGAGCATGTAAAGGCACAGATGCATTCTTCTGCGCCTTCGCCCATGGCGACTATGGTGCACGAAGTGGTCCGCAGACTAAAACCCATACAAATGGAAGTCGATAAGTTCGACGGCAAAGAAGGTGGCAACCTTTTGCTTTGGTTCCGACAGGTCGAGCCGGCTATGTTTATAGCCAACATCACCTATGAGCCGTACCGTGTGGGCTTTGCCACGGGAAAGTTAGGTGGCTTAGCCAAACAGTGGGTATTCACATGTGGTGCATCACTGCAAGATGCTTTTCCCAGCCTTGTCCGATCTGAAAGGTCAGATGATCCGGCAGTATACACCACCAAACCAAGCACATTGTAATCGGTCGCGGTTTTTGGCGTGTCGCCAAGGCGTCAGACGACGTATATCGAACGGACACACAAGCATCGTGTACTTCCGGGATGAAGATTTGAAGACATGCGTGTGTTTAAGCGGCTGGCCGTTGTTCAAGGGTAGAGGGCGACTGTGGTGAAGCATTTCAAAAATTAGCAGGCCAAAGGACTGGTTGGTCAAAAAGAAGGAGGCCCTCCAAGGAGGAGCGATTTTTGGATGAGAAGGGTTGTACGGTTTAAGCGTGCTCCATTAAGAAAGGCTAGTCGCGGTCAATCTGATGAACAACAATTCCCTGAGGTGGACCCCAGTCATTTCGAGGTTGGCCCTGGCCCCTCTTTGGTAGACCTTAATCAAGGTTGACCCCGATCTCTCGTTTTTACACCCTGGTCCCTCGGTCGGTAGGCCTTCGTCCCCTCAGTTCTTTGGTCACCCGGCCTCTCGGCCCCTCGGTAAGCAGAATCATGAACCAGATCTCGGGGTAAGGATAGAGTAAAGAAGTTAAAAGATAGGACCATATCAATAACTACTCAATTTGCGATCTACATAGCACACCTCGGTTGTGCTTCGAGGTACTTCACCTGTTCCGGGAAGGGATACATTTTGGCCCCCCCGTCAAGACAGTTCTGTAGTAAGACCCAAGTGCAAATAGAGCCCCAGGATGTATTTGGCCTTATGAATTTGTCTGAGTCGCACCCCTCAATAGACCCGCTATCGGAAGTGATTGCCCTGTCCTAGGGGTCCGGAAGCAGGTAAAGGCCAGGATTGAGTATCTCTTCTGAAGAATTTCGTCATAAGTCCACCCTCGACCTAGTCGACCGAGACTAGATGATACTTGGTAAGATGGATTAATGAATGTTTCATACTTTAGATACGCTGTATATGGGCATATTTACATCGACTTCGTCGGTCAGTAGGCGTGACAACAATACGGAGGCTGGTAAGATGGCGACGTAGAAAATTGTCAAATACTCCATCTGATTGTGGTGCAGTTGTATGCTACGTGCATGTACAA